AATTTCTCTGGGGAATTTAAACCCCTCACATTGATAGTACTAATGTGGAGAATTTCCAGTTGGGTTCTTGTTATTAGTGTAGGTGACATTGTGCCTCTCGTGTCTTGTGTGCAGTAAGACCTCTGTACCAGTTGTCAGGGTTCAGATAATAATATAAGAAATATACAAAATAAATAAAGGAATAACTATGTACACTTATGTTAACCAGTACACTTATGTCAACCATGAATTTGAGCTTATAAGTGTTAAAGTACCATCAGTGTGTGTCCCAAATTAGATTGGGTTTTCTAATTGGGACCCTTGTAGGCACATTATATTTTTACCTGTTCATTTCTGCTATGGTCGGGTGGCATTGGTGACGCTGATCCCCGGCTTGGGAGACCGCCTCCCCAAGGCTCCAATACAAGATGTAGATCTTGTCTTGCCTTTTCCTGCTTTGTCTCGTCCTGGTGCGAGGAGGAGAATATCTGTGTATCATTGCGAGTCGGCAACGTGGGCGTCCGCATGGGGGGGTAAGGGGGGGCACCCCCCTCCTGGATTTTTCAGCTTGTTCTGCTATTTTTCGCGTGAGATTTAAAATGAACTGCAATACCGGCACTGTGTATGGAGAGAGACAGGGATAGGAAGCTGCATCTTATCCCTGCTTCTCTCTGCTGATTGAAACCGCAGGGGAACAACACATGCAGCCAGAGACACAGCCTACAGATCAGGTAAGTGAGGGATTGAGTGGGGGGTTTGAGAGGGGGGGCAGCAGCCTATAGGTGAGGGGGGGGCATCCTATAGATTAGGAGAGTGAGGGGGGGCAGCAGCCTATAGATTAGGGGAGTGAGGGGGCAGCCTATAGATTAGGGGAGTGAGGGGGGGCATCCTATAGATTAGAGTGAAGAGGGGCAGCAGCCCGTGGTGATTAGGGGAGGGAGGGGCAGCAGCCCATAGATTTGGGAGCAGGGGGACAGCAGCCTATAGATTAGAGAGGAGGGGGCATCCTATGATTAGGTAGTGAGGGGGCAGCCTATAGATTAGAGAGTGAGGGGGCATCCTACATTAGGGAGTGAGGGGCAGTCTGTGTGTTTCATAGATTAGGGAGTGAGGCTGGGGGGCAGCCTGCAGATTAGGGAGTGAGGGGGCATCTCTATAGATTAGAGTAAGGGCAGCAGCCTATATATTAGGGAGTGAGGCTGGGGCAGCAGCCTATATATTAGGGAATGAGGCTAGCAGCAGCCTATAGGATTAGGGGAGTGAGGGGGGCATCCTATAGATTAGGGGAGTGAGGGGGGCAGCAGCCTATAGATTAGGGGAGTGAGGCTGGGGGGGCAGCAGCCTATAGATTAGGAGAGTGAGGGGGGGGCATCCTATAGATTAGGGGAGTGAGGGGGGGCAGCAGCCTATAGATTAGGGGAGTGAGGGGGGGGACCCTAGATTATTAGGGAGTGAGGGGGCAGCTCATAGATTAGGAGTGAGGGGCAGCAGCTCATAGATTAGGGACTGAGGCTGAGGGGCAGCAGCCTATAGGATTAGGGAGTGAGGCTGGGGCAGCAGCCTATAGATTAGGGGAGTGAGGCTGGGGGGGGCAGCAGCCTATAGATTAGGAGAGTGAGGGGGGGCATCCTATAGATTAGAGGAGTGAGGCTGGGGGGGCAGCAACCTATAGATTAGGGGAGTGAGGCATGGAGGGCAGCCTATAGATTAGGGAAGTGAGCATAGGCGTGCGCAGCCTATTGCATTAGGGTGTGCACCCCAAATCACAAACACACGCCATGTGTATATGTGTGTGTGTGTATATATATATATATATACACACACTGCTGTGTGTGTGTGTGAGGGTGCTGTTTGTGTGCTGTGTGTGAGGGAACTGGTAGTGTGCTCTGTGTGTGTGTGTGTGTGTGAGAGGGTGTTTGTGTGTGCGTGTTTGTTCTGGTCCTGTTAGTGTGCTGTGTGTGGGTGTTGTGTGTTTGTCAGGGTGCTGTTTGTGTGTGGGTGCTGTGCGGGTGTTGTGTGTGGGTTTTGTGCGTTTGTGAGGATGCTGTTAGTGTGCTGGGTGTGTGTGGGTGTTGTATGTGTGTGGGTGGTGTTTGTGGGCTGTGTGTGCTGTTTGTGGGCTGTGTGTGTTGTGTGTAGTTGCTGTGTGTGTGTGCTGTATGTTTGGGTGGAGGTGGGGGCAGATTAGTTAATATCCCAGTCCTGCTGCCTTCCCTTGTGGAGAGTGAACTCTAGCCCGGGTTCTCTGCTGCCTCCCTCCATGCTACTGTGGACCGGTGAGGTAGAACTTTGATCTGCCCACCGGCCCATGGAGGCTTAGACCAGAGCCGCCGCTTGGATAGCGTCGGCTCTGCATGAGCCGACTGGGGAGATCCAGAGATCTCCCCGTCCGGTCTCAATCCATTGGCGTGCCGCGGGGATTAGGGTGTGCCCAGGCACACCCGACACACCCCGTGCGCACGCCTATGGAAGTGAGGGATGGAGGAGACAGCCTACATGAAGAGTCAGCAAGGAGCAAGAAGGTAAAGTAAGAAAAGGAGAAGGAACAGAAATGAGCAGGAAGGGACATCAAGGGGCAGCAAGGAGCTGGAAGGGACAGCAAGGAGCACAAAGGTAAAATAGGAGAATGAGCAGGAAGGGCCTGCAAGGAGCAGGAAGGAGCACAAAGGTAAAGGAGCAGAAAGAATCAGAGGGAGCACAAAGGTAAAGTAGAAAAGGGAGCAGAAAGGGTCTGCAAGGAGCAGAAAGCGGTCAGAATGAGAAAGGAGCAGAAGGGCGCTAAATAAGCAGAAAGTAGCAGAAAGGTAAAAGAACAGAAGGGGCCAAGGATAGAAAACAGTGTCAGAAGAAAAAAAAAGACTGTCAAATGAAGGAGAGGAAAAGGAGATTGGAGCAGGAAGGACAAATGAAGTGAACCCTCCACTTTATTCTGGACACCACATCATAAGGCTTTGGTACCTGGGCCAGGCAGGGAAACGCTGGACCTTCTCATCTCCAAAGGTAAAAAAATATCAGTATTAATGTGTTCACTTTTATTTACTGAGTGTCAGGAAGCACAGAGTGCCGTTGGGTAGGGGTGTTGCTGATTGGCTAGAGCGGTCAGCTGGCACTCTAAGCCAATCAGTAGCTCCCCATTCATAAAAAAGTAAAAATATTTTATGAACCGGGAACTAGCGATTGGCTTAGAGCGTCAACTGACCACTCTAGCCAATCAGCGGCACCCATGCCTGACGTCAATCTGCACTTCCTGACACTCTGTTTCAGAAGCCAAATACCACTGAGCGACCTGGAGCTGGAGGAAGCCTTTGGGTTAAACCATTTGAGAGCGATTTAACCCCTTAAAGGAAAGCGAGCACCCAGGGGCTTCCTGGCATCATAGCATTTTCATTTAGGTGAAGCTGTTATGGTGACCAGAAGGTCCTTTAATTTGCTTAAAGGAACACTATAGTGTCAGGAATACAAACCTATATTCCTGACACCATAGTTGTGAAAACTCTATTCACCCTGGCTTTATGTGATAATGGCTATGCCCCTTCCCTTTCATGACACTGTCAAAAAGGTACCAAGCATGGATGTCATTACAATTATGCCCCCCCCTGGAAAAATTCCTGCGGACGCCCATGGTCGGCAATAGTCTTATCGCTTATTCCAGCTATGGATACATTTCCGAGATGTAGCGTTCACTACTGGACAGTGGACTTTCCTCTTCGAGTGGCTGCTCTTAATGATGTGTCAGCCTGATCTGGCCTTCTTCACTTTGGTGTCTGTTGCCATCTTGGTCGTGGTGTGTTTTCTGTGCCAATTGTGGTAGTCCATACCAATCTGGTATATGTGTAAATGGTAAGTCAAGCGTCTGTAGAAATACTGGGACATCTTGGACTGAGTGGATGGAGTGCACCTTGCCTTGGTGGGTGACGCTGAGTGCCAAAGGGAATCCCCGTCTGTTGCGTATGATGCGCACTTGTAGGTTATCTGTGATGGGTTTGAGGGCCCTCCTCGTCTGCAAGGTCAGCCATGACACATCTGGGTAGACAGATATGGGGGCATCTCTGTATAGCAGCGGTTAAGTAGATTGCCTTAAAGCTTTAAGAATGTCCTCCTTTTGGGATTAATAATGCAGGTGACACACTGCATCTCTGGGTCTGTCTAGCGGGTCCCCTCTAGGGCACAGGGCTCTATGTGCTCTGTCAAATAACAGCTCAGCATCTGCTGGCTTCCCCATGACTAAATTAAAAATCTCCTGCAGTACCTCTGGTAAGTCCTCGGAATCCTGTTCAGGAAGGCCTTTTATACGAAGATTATTCCGTCTCCCTCTGTTGTCAATATCATCCAGAGAGCGTTGGATTTCAGGAGGAGTGTGCTTCCATGGTATTTTGTAAGCGTTGTACCTGGAGCTGCAGTGCGTCCCTGTCATCTCCTAGGGTGCTTACCCTGTCTATCTTTTTGACAATTTTTTTTAAAGAGTTTTATTTATATACTTTATGGTTACATTGCATGGTATGAAATGTACAGTGATGATACATAATAAAGATCATTGTACAATAAAGTGCTTGATACAATGGAACATGCGTTGTACACGTCTATTGGTTGTCTAGTACATGGAAACCGAGTAAGCTGCCACTGTTACATAATAATAAATTTGCAACTTTATGTGTTGGCCTTGCCTATCGTAATGCTGCCGTGGGATGTGATATTTCTTAAAGCGGCACTGTCATGCCGAACTTACCTTTCCTCAATCTCTTCCTCTTCCTCCCCCTCTCTCAGGATCTGTTCTTCTTTTCTTCCTGTCTTCTTATTTTTCTTTAAAATCATAAGACAAAGTAGGGACTCTTTGCCTTATGCAGGTTTCCTCCGCTTGACCAGCTCTGACCAGCGGAGGAGCAAAGTGTGATTCATTTTCGCTGGTCAGAGCAATTTTCCCATAATTCTTACCTTACCTCAGTGTTCCCACGATGCTTCCTGTCATTTTAGACGAAAGTGCCGAATTGCGTTCTAACTGAATGAGAACAGTATGTTCGTTTGTTTTAGAACTCAATTCGGCACTTTGTTCGGATCGCAATTTCATTCGAATGAATGAAACTCCGATCCTATTTGTGCTGTGGCTGCATCTTGCAGCCGCTTAGTAGATAACTCCCTAATTCCCACGGTATTAGGGAGCTATCTACCAAAAGGCTGAAAGACCTAAATTGGTCTTTCAGCCACGTTTACTAATACTAAGTAAAGATTACTTAGTATTAGTAAATGCTGCCCCTACTCGCTATACCGCGAGTAGGGGCATGTCTAGTAAACAGTGAGCAGCCTGTGGCTGCTCACTGTAAAAAATAAATAAAAACCTATTGGCCCCCACCCGGGTGGGGGCCCTAAAGTAAAATAAGGGGGGAGGACAGTAGGTCTGGGCGGCTGGTGGGGGCCATAATGATAATGAGGGGGGGGACCTACTGTCCTCCCCCCACAGGCCCCCACCCGTGGGCGATGGGTGGGGGGCCATAATGATAATGAGGGGGGGAACCTACTGTCCTCCCCCCCAGGTCGCCCATCATAATTGTCAGCACCAGGCCCACCGTGCTCTTAATCCGGCTCTGCCCCCCCCCTCATTATCATTATGGCCCCCACCCACTGCCCAGTAGAGTAGGGGCATTGGGGAGACTTTAATCTCCCTTATGCTATTATGGGGGTCATATTGACCACAGTCGCAGTTTAGAAATTGCCCTACAAATTTGAGTTGGCTAGAGTGGAGTTTCAATGAAACATAGAAACATAGAATGTGACGGCAGATAAGAACCATTCGGCCCATCTATTCTGCCCAATTTTATAAATACTTTCATTAGTCCCTAGTCTTATCTTATAGTTAGGATAGCCTTATGCCTATCCCACGCATGCTTAAACTCCTTTACTGTGTTAACCTCTACCACTTCAGCTGGAAGGCTATTCCATGCATCCACTACCCTCTCAGTAAAGTAATACTTCCTGATATTATTTTTAAACCTTTGTCCCTCTAATTTAAGACTATGTCCTCTTGTTGTGGTAGTTTTTCTTCTTTTAAATATAGTCTCCTCCTTTACTGTGTTGATTCCCTTTATATATTTAAATGTTTCTATCATATCCCCCCTGTCTCGTCTTTCCTCCAAGCTATACATGTTAAGATCCTTTAACCTTTCCTGGTAAGTTTTATCCCGCAATCCATGAACCAGTTTAGTAGCCCTTCTCTGAACCCTCTCTAAGGTATCAATATCCTTCTGAAGATACGGTCTCCAGTACTGTGTACAATACTCCAAGTGAGGTCTCACCAGTGTTCTGTACAATGGCATGAGCACTTCCCTCTTTCTACTGCTAATACCTCTCCCTATACAACCAAGCATTCTGCTAGCATTTCCTGCTGCTCTATTACATTGTCTGCCTACCTTTAAGTCATCAGAAATAATCACCCCTAAATCCCTTTCCTCATATGTTGAGGTTAGGACTCTATCAAATATTCTGTACTCAGCCCTTGGGTTTTTACGTCCAAGATGCATTATCTTGCACTTATCCACATTAAATGTCAGTTGCCACAATTCTGACCATTTTTCTAGTTTACCTAAATCATTTGTCATTTGGCTTATCCCTCCTGGAACATCAACCCTGTTACATATCTTAGTATCATCAGCAAAAAGACATACCTTACCATCAAGACCTTCTGCAATATCACTAATAAAAATATTAAAGAGAATGGGTCCAAGTACAGATCCCTGAGGTACCCCACTGGTGACAAGTCCAAGCTTCGAATATATTCCATTAACTACAACCCTCTGTTGCCTGTCACTCAGCCACTGTCTTACCCATTCAACAATATTGGAATCCAAACTTAAAGATTGCAGTTTATTGATAAGCCTTCTATGTGCAACAGTGTCAAAAGCCTTACTGAAATCTAGGTAAGCAATGTCTACTGCACCACTCTGATCTATAATTTTAGTTACCCAATCAAAAAAATCAATAAGATTAGTTTGGCATGATCTCCCTGAAGTAAACCCATGTTGTTTCTGATCTTGAAATCCATGTGTTTTTAGATGTTCATCAATCCTATCCTTTAACATGGTTTCCATCACTTTCCCCACTACTGAAGTAAGGCTTACTGGCCTATAGTTGCCCGACTCCTCCCTATTACCTTTCTTGTAAATGGGCACAACATTCGCTAACTTCCAATCTTCTGGGACTACTCCTGTTAACAATGATTGGTTAAATAAATCTGTTAATGGTTTTGCTAGTACACCACTAAGCTCTTTTAATAGCTTTGGGTGTATTCCATCAGGTCCCATTGACTTATTTGTCTTTACTTTTGACAGTTGAAATAGAACCTCTTCCTCTGTAAACTCACGTGTAATAAATGACTCATTTATCCTTTTTTCTCAACTGAGGTCCTTTTCCTTCATTTTCATCTGTAAATACAGAACAAAAATATTCATTGAGGCAGTCAGCTAGACCTTTATCTCTTCTACATACCTTCCTTCTTTTGTTTTTAATCTAACTAATCCTTGTTTTACTTTTCTTTTCTCATTTATGTATCTAAAAAATGTTTTATCCCCCTTTTTTACTGACTGTGCTATTTTCTCTACTGTGTGTGATTTGGAAGCTCTTATAACTTGCTTAGCCTCTTTCTGCCTAATCTTATAGATCATTTTGTCTTCCTCACTCTGGGGTTTTTTATAATTCCTAAATGCTAACTTTTTGTTTTTAACTATTTTGGCCACATCTGCGGAGTACCACAGTGGTTTCTTGAATTTTTTGCTTTTACTGACAAGCCTAATGCAATTTTCTGTTGCCTTCAATAGTGCAACTTTTAAATAATCCCATTTCTCTTGGACTCCATTTAAATTGCTCCAGTCTGATAATGACTCCTCTACCCATATTCTAATTTTAGAAAAGTCTGTTTTTCTAAAGTCTAAAACTTTTGTTTTTGTGTGGTGTGACTCAGTCACTGTTCTTATATTAAACCACACTGACTGATGATCACTGGATCCTAAACTTTCACCTACAGTAATATCTGATACCAAATCTCCATTTGTTAACACTAAATCTAGTATGACCTCTTTACAAGTTGGCTCCTCAACAACTTGTTTTAGAGACAATCCCAGTAGGGAGTTTAGAATATGTGTGCTCCTGGCACAAGTAGCTAATTTTGTTTTCCAATTTATATCAGGCAGATTAAAGTCACCCATGATGATAACTCCCCCCTTCATTGTCATTTTAGCTATTTCCTCAACTAGTAGAATGGACAGCGTAGAATGTCAATGGACAGCGTGAGTTGCAAACAAATGGATATATTGTGAAAATGATCAGGCCTATGGCTTAGCCGTGGACATTTTTAGTGGCAGCAGGGATAGCTGAACGTTCTGATATAAGATTTGTGTAGGTGGGCTTGAAAATGAGGGAGTGGTGGCAGTTTAGAAATCATGTCCTGATTTTTCAGCTTTTGCCAGCTCCCACTCTAGTTTTGAAAATTTTGCCATTCATTCCTATGGGACCAATTTCACCACAAGAACGACGATATTCTGTGAACCATTCGGCGAAATGTTCCACAAAGAAAGAGCACACCAATCGGGAACAATCCGCACATTTCGGTATATTACTGTCTATGTAGTGTAAAAACTATGGGAGGAGGTAGGGTGGTAAATTTGGCTATAATCAGAATAATAATAATATATATGTAAGATAACATTATAATAATAATAGTTCCATGGTCGGATAAATTAAAACAGCATATCCCACTTACAGCATATCCCGCTTACCCCAAGTCATGTTTTAGTAAAAGATAGTCTATGGCCGCCCTATTCTCGAGGATTGCCTTTCTATTGGCCTGGGTATCTAGCAAGAAGTTCCTCTAGGGCCTGGGATGTTGCATTGAAACCTTTTTGGCGAGGGAACAGGCTAGGGTATTAATTACTATGTTATTATACAGTGCTAAGCCTGGGACCCTTAACATTTAATAGGCGGTGTAACAGGTTATATTCAAGAGGAAACAGGGGTGGTCTTATAAACATTATCCAATAATAACATCATTCATCAATTTTATCTCATTATATCTTATCCTATAGCTAGCTTGCAGGTGTAATGGGGGAGTACTCATTATAGTTTTAGTTTAACTACGCAGCTGAAATAAAAAGTTACTACGTACTCATAAAATAGATAGGTTACTACGCAGTTAGAATTACAGAAATAGAAAACAGAAAAGAAGACCAATGCTCTGAGACTGGAAAGTTTATAGTTCTAGCTAGAGGTAATTTCATTAAGCATTGTATATAGACAAAGTGGGAAAAATACCCATCCCTAGTCCGTAGACCAGGGTCTAGGATTACCAGTCCACCCAGTGTTCTGGGGCCAGGTCAAAAAACAAAAAGTGACAAAAAGCTTGTATTTGAGAATAAAGCACATCTGGGGGAACCCTGAGGGGGAGCCACAACTGTATAGACATGTCATCCCTCACGTTGACACCACTTGTGACTTATGATACCTGCACCTGTGAGTACATAGCTTGGGCATGAGGAAGAATTGGGAAACACTTCTTGATTGGTTGAAAAGGCCCACTTACATATTAAATCATTAGATAAATTATATTCTAGCTTGCAATTCTGACAATAATTCCAACCAGAACCTTGGGTCCTTTGTCTCCTAATCATGTCCCTATTCCATCGGTCCAGTCAAAACCGGTCATATCCACACTCAGTTCCTCAAAACATGAGAATCCATCCTTGGCACACTCAACATACATCAACGTCACATACATACATACATACTCTCTCCGATTAACTCTACAAAGAATAAAAATAACAAAATAGTTCAATAGTTCAGCATAGTTCAGAAAAATAAAGCAAGTCTTTTAAGGAGTATACATTTGGACACCATACATTTTGTTCCATAAAACAGATTAGGGTAGCCATCTGGCTG